GGGAGCTGGGGTCCACGCGCCTGGAATCAGGAGTCGCCCCGCTTGGCTGTTCCTGGTGGGCGGGAAACCTCCCGCTGTGGCACCCGACTGTGGTCCATTCTATCCCTCTCTTGTTCACCCAAACACGAGGTCTGACGCCTCCCAGGACCCTGAACACCTAATTCAACCCTCTCCGCTGCTCAGGAAGAAGCAAGCCCAGCGGGACGGAGATGCCCCCTCCCGACCTTCCATTCCTCTCTGTGTTTTAGGAAAATTAAAATTGGAGACGATTCCTCTTTGTCAGTAATTACAGACCAGACTCCTCTTGGGAAGCTGTGACCTTCTTTCCAACATCCTTTGGCTGTCGCCTGGAAAGGGCACACCCCTGCCCCAGGGCGAGGCTCCTTGGCCCCAGAGTGGGCTCACTGAGGAGCTCTGAAGAGAGTGCTCCAACAGCTGTCCCCGCTGGCGCCCAGGCCACGTCTGTGAGGGCGCCGGTCACTGCAGCTGGAGCTCTGGCCCAGAAAGCCCCAGAGCCCGGCTCCCCTGTGTCACGGCCAAGAGGAGCGAGACGAGAGGACACCAGCCTCCCCCCAGCCTCCTGCTGCCCCACTGCAGCAACCAGACTGCTCTCCCGCCTCCAAGTCCCTACTAACCAGCCAGGGAGCCTCAGGGCCCAGAGACCCCAGTGACCAGCTGGCTGCTTGGACCTGCCCCCACTTGCCAAAGAAAGTGTGTATGTGAACCTCTAAACATGCTGGAATTCTCACCTACCCCTCCTGCTCCTCACTTCTCTCTGGGCTCTCCCACAGAGCATGCACGTCTCCCCCATCGCCCAACTGGTCAGCTGTCGCTGCAGACACCTATCCTGTGGTCTTACACGCTCACATGCACACCTAGGGACTCCGTTCCAGCGCAGCTTCTGCTGCATGAAACCCGGGCAGGGCCTTGAGGGCTCAGCATTTTCCACACGCCTCGAGGAGCGGCCAGTCTGAGTTCCCTCACCTCCCGCCACTGTCCACCGTGGGCGCTCTTCTTCCTTGACCAGAAGCGCCCTTGTCTTCCTCTCTCCTGCTCACCAGCGCTGGGCTGAGCATCCATGCATGATTTAATTGATGCCTCAGGCCCTACAGGCTGGTCTGAGAAGGCTTCCTCGTGATCATCTCGACCCCACCCAGACCTTGTGTGCACCCACAGCATCCTCTAAGGAGACGCGCTCACTCGTTATCACCCCACAGTTGTAGGTGAGCAAACAGACCTAGGGAAGTCAGCTCGAGCTGTGTGCACTGCAGCTCGGACAGCCAACCTCGGTGACCCCAAGTCCTTGCCCTGCCAGCCCCCACCTGAGCGCCTCATGTTCCTCCTGAAGCCTCCCCAGACCCCTCCTGGGAAAGCCCCCATCCTTCCTAATTTGTCCTTCACATTGTCTTGGACTGCAGAGAGCTTTACCTGGCCTGTGAGATCCTGCCCAGCAGGCCAATGTGTCCCCCTCCTGGCCTGGGATGTCCCCTTGTGCCCTCAACCAGCCAAGCACCCTGCAGCGCCCTGGACTTCACTGGTACTCCACAAACATTGGTCAAAATGAGTTCTCTAAATCTGTTTATTTCTCTATTTCTGTGTTTCCTGTTTTTCCCTGGTCCCTCAAGTCATTACTCTTTTTTTTTTTCCTTCTTAAGTGGTAAGCTTGCATCAGTTAAAAGGAAGTTTTCCTTTCTTTAAACTCTTTTATTTTCTAAATCCAAAATAATATGTCTGCATTTTGGAAAAGTTCTGGAGTAACAACCAGAGGTGCATGGCCCCCTTGGCTCACCCTTAGCCTGGGCACTGTGAGCTGGACAGTTCCCTGTCACTAGGAGTCCTCTAGCCTCCTGGGATGATGTTGGCAGTGCCCCAGGCTACTCACTCCAGGCTATCAGCCCTCTTGGTGGCTGTGACAATCAGAAATTCCAGCCATTGCCCTATGTCTGTCTCCTCTGAGTACCAGTGCCAAGCCCCCGGGAGGAAGCACCACTGTGACTGTTGGTACGTCTCCTCCCAGCCTCAAAAGAGTGTTTTCTACACTTGGGCCAGAAGAGATGGGGCCCAGGATGTGGCTGGGTTAGGGATAATGGCATTGGTGGCATGGGACAGGTGACAGCCCTGAAGGCAGGCAGAGGCCCGGGCTGATGGCTGAGGGCAGGGAGGCTGGTGTAGGGCTGTCTTTGCTGACCTCCTCTTTAGAGTCAACGCACACCCAGATGGAAACCTTTCCCTCTTCCACAAGATCTCAACCATTTCACTGAACCCCACAGCAAAGTCAGAGTCACGACATTACGATCATCTTAGTCACTTTAGGGCAAAAATATTATTGCCCAACATCAAGCCAAACTTGGCTCCGGGATCACTGCTAGAGATTCCCAGCCAAAGGAAGCCCCCCGAGAGGCTGCGCAGAGAAGGCAAGTCCAGGGTGGTGGCCCCGTGGCGTCTGGGCTGATGGGGGTGCCTCCTGAGTGGGGACCCACACAGCCCTGTCTCCAGGCTGAGCTGCGGTCAGAGTCACTGGAGACCTCAAGCTCTTCACTGTCCAGGAGCCAGTGGATCAGAGCCAGTTCCATGGTACCTCCGCTCCCGTTTGTCCACTACATCTCCCAGCCTCCCACTCCATGCACCCTATTCACCTCCCCGACAAGCAGAAGCCCCCTTACAGGAGGAGGGAGGAGGGAGGGAGACGTGGAACCACTCACAGGACCGGGAGGAGGTCTGATGCGTTGACCCTTCCAGACCCGTGATGGACCCTTTAAGGAGGCAACACCATCCACAGGTTCAAGTTTCCGAATATTTGTTTAAAACTGGTCCCTGTTGGTCTTGGCCCCACGTCCACGTACTGATGTTGACTCCTGGCGCTCAGAGGCCGCCTGCCTGGATCTTGCCTTGATGCTCCACCCTGCCCAGTGCCATCAAAAAAACCCTTTTGTAAACACTGTTTCTTTCTTTAATCCTCATTGGTAAGCAGCTGTTCCAAGAGGCAGAAAGCCTATAATCTCCTTGGATTGAAAGGAGCCTCGGAAGGCAAGTCCGAGCTGCCCTCCCGGTGGGCAGCGAAACCCAGGCCTGGTGGACTGGATGCCGTGATCTGCAGGGCATGGTGCGAGAGGGAGAGGGAGCACTGCAGCCATAGATCAAGTCCGTTCCCTGACTTCAGGAATATTACAGTCCAGAGAGGGAAGCAGACAAGCATCCGGCTACAGCTCAGAGCGAAAGGGCAGGCAATGAACCAAAACGGTGAGCGGGTGACAAGCCAGACCTGGGCTAAATGGCGGGGTGGTTGTTAGTCTTGTGTAGCTATTTAAATTAAGACAAAACAAAAGTTAGGGCTGGGGACACAGCTCAGTGGTACAGCACTTACTTAGCGTGTGTGAGGCCCTGGGTTCCATCCCCAGCACACAGACACAAAATGACTCAAGGTTCCGCTCCCTAGCCACACCAGCCATATTCCAGGCTCTGGACAGCCACCTGTGGCTAGTGGCCGCCATATTGGAAAGTGCAGAAGCGAACACTCTGGCCACTTGATCAGGTTCTATCAGGTAGGTCTGTTTTAGACTGAAGTGAAGTCGTGGGGGAGGGAGGAGGAGCTAGGAACAGAGCATAGGCCAGAGATTTAGGGGTCACCTGGAGCCTTACTCGCGTGCACCCGGTACAGCTCCCAGGCCTCCGTGGGAGCGCCTGCAGCTCTGCTCTCCTCTCTCCATCCGCCTGCCTCAGGTGCTCTCTGGGGCGTCTGGCTGTCTCCCAGACCTTGGCCCACCCGAGGCAAAGGCAATCGTCTGTCTTTTCCAGGGCCTGGACCCCACCCTAAAGTTTTCCGTGCACCTTCTGGGTAAAGGATTTTAACCTACACTGCACAGGTTCTAGATCAAGAATGCGGTTAGTCAGCCTTGGTCAACGGGAACGTGGTCCCCACACCACTCCTCACCCACCTGCCCCACCGCCTTTGCCTCCTGCACATCCTCCTAACACAGAGGCCTGCTGACGCCTGGGACAGCCTCCCAGTGAGAAGCTTAGCACCCTCCAGTCCCTGCAGTGGGATTCAGACATGGGGGCCACAAAGGAGAAAGTGCCATATGGGGTGTTCCTCCGACCCCAGTGACCATCAGGGTTTCCCAGTGTGTGACATCTGCTCTTGGTCCTTTCCTTCCCCCAGAAGTCCCTTGTCACATTAACTGCCCATTTCCCAGACTCCAAAACCTACCATGGGCAGGAGGAGGCTGAGTGACCTCTAGCTGACAAGTAGACAGAAGCCCCTTTACCACCTAATGTCCCTGTGTGACCGGCAGACCCAGCTGGCCTGGGGATCTCTCCCTCCTAACCACACAGGGGAGGCAGCAGGCCTCACTGGAGGAACCCTGAGGGCCCAGCTCCTCTGGGAATTTCCCTCTTTCCCTCTCCCGAGAACTGCTCCCTGTCTCTGTTGTTTGAAAGTCTGGGGGTTTATGGGGTTACCTCCACAGCCCGAGTCCAGGAGTGAAGAGGTGGGTTCTTCCAGGGCTACTTGCTAGTTCCTAACAAAGGTTCCCTTTGGATGGAGGTGAGGCTTCGTTTGGGACTTAACAGTGAGGAGAGGAGAGACCAAGAACGTGCCCATCCTACAGCATCTCCCTCCTCTCCAGGGCAATGCATCTTGGCCAAGAAAACTCACCTGGAGCAGAGAGCGGGACTCTAAGTTTCTGCCAGCCTGTGCAAATACGACTGCCACGTGGGCTGCTGGGCACTGGGCCCTGGGGGCACCTGGCCAGCCCAGCCGCAGAGCTGCTGCTGCAACCCAGGGGGAACAAAGACTGCCTTGAGCAGAGCTGCTGACCTCAGGTCCCCTCCCAGCTGGGACGCCTGGGGCAGGGCTCATCCTGCTTTGAGAACTGCGAGAGGGGAAAGGCCCCAGTGGCTCAGCTGGGAGCTTGCTCTGCAGGTGGCCTGGCTGGAGCCACCACCCCAGCACCAGCACAGTGCCACCCTTCGGGGCAGAGGCTCCCGAGGAGGGAAGAACCTGAGAATTCTGTGGCCTGAGCCCCACCGCAGTCCGCCCTTTACAGGCAGCACAAACCACGCCTGTCTGGCTGCCTTGGCTGAGACACCTCACAGGCACCACCGGGGAAGCCTGGCAGGAGACAGACCGTGGCCCAAACTGAGTGGCTCCTCCGTCAGAAATGTGATCTGGCTCAGCACCCATGGGTCTGTCTCCTGCCCGGTCCAGCCTGGGCCCCTCTTGCCAAGATCACCTGTGACCTGGCTCTATTCTGCCGTTCTGCTGTGGGAGCTTTAAAGCTTCTGCTGGGAACGGCCCTGGGTATGGATGCCCCCACCTCCCGCCCCAGGCAAACCGCTGCCCCCTCTGGGGTTATCCTTGGTCTTCCCCACGCACAGCTGCTTTCCAGGTCTGCAGGGCCTCTCGCCCCAAACCCTCCTCTGCTGCCTTGGCCTACGTCATGCCTTCCACCCAGGACACCGAGGGGCGCCAGGCCTGTTCTCCAGCACACCAGCCCATGGGCTGCTCTGATCTGTTAAGACTAAACAAAATAAAGGGGCCACTTTCTAAGCACTCACGTGGCTAGCGGCTACCACAGCAGGCAACACTGCTGATAGAACATTTCCACGTGGCTGGACACTCCCCTGGACAGACTGGCCTGCACTGTGTCTCCAGCTGTCTGCTGGATCCCTCTCTGCCCAGCCATGAGCCGCGAACACCCAATTAACTCACCCTCCTCACTGCTGCCGGCCCTCCCTTCTCCTCCTGGGCTGGCAGCTCTGTGAAAGACAGCACCGTTCACAGGTGCTGGAACCCAGGCCACAAGTGGGAGCCACTAACACGAGTACCTTCCATGCCCCCATCACATCAAACCCATCGCCAAGCTCCCCCAGATCTCCCCTGCCCCTTGGTCCCCAACACCACCAACTGTGTCCAGCTCTCCTTGGGCCTCCCCGCTTCCTTCTGTCTCCTACACTGACTCCTTAAGAGGCTACTTTTTAAAAATGCAAATCAGTGCTGCCCTTGGCTCAAGGGCATCCAGAGACAAAGAACGGGGTTCAACCCTCCATCCCCACTAGGCTCCTGCCTCCCCTGCCTGTCACCCAGCCTCTTACCTGTCATCTGGCCTCTGCCTGTCAACCAGCCTCCACCTGTCATCCATGCATATGATTCCTTCACTCCAGCCACATGCTGCTTCCCTCAGTCCCTAACACAAGTCACACTTCAGGATGCCCCATGTCCTGCCACCTCTCCATCCGTGCATCTTCAGAGCTGGCCTGATGCTGCCTCCTGCAGCAAGTATTCCAGGCCCCCTTCCCCTGCTGTGGCTCGACCCTCCCCCAGCGTCTACTACACAGAGGTCTGTAATCACTGGGGCTTATCTGTCCCTCTGGACTTTTCCCAGCTCCTCCAGCATCCAGTGTCTCACATCCAGTGTGGCATGAACCCCTCCCTCACCTTTCAGTCAATCCCAAGTAGCAAAGCCACCATCCAAACAGGACTGGTTACAGACTGGAGCTGCTCAAACCTGTCCAAACAGAGTGGGGAGGGAGGGAGCCAGAAGACAGTATGGTGTGTCTCCGGAATGCTGACCGCCATGAGCCTGGGAGCTGTCCTTGCTAGCTATTCCTCCATCTGCACCCAGAGCACCTCCTGCCTCCCAAAGACCAGTAAACCCTGCTGCCTCCTTAGCCAAGGCTACAAGCCACATGAGCGTCCAGCAAGACCACAGGAAAAGACCATCCAGGAAAAGACCAAAGACAAAACACAACACCCAGGTGGCTGATTGGAGGTGAGCTCAGCAGTGGGGAGAAGTGGGGAGGTGATGGACCAGGAGACCTGGAAGCTGCCTACAATTAGTGACCGCTGCAAACCATGAACCCTTACTGCCATGGAAAGACGTTCTGAGGGAAAGTGCAGGCTGAAAGCCGCGTGCACACACGTACAAGTGGACACTCAACCACAGCATGCGAAGGCCACCACCTGGCCGCTGATGGCAACTGTCCAGGCATGATGAGAACATGGCTCTCTAACATTGTCTTATTTGTGCTTTCTTTTATTTGTGCTTTGTTTTTGTTCCCCCTGTAACAGTCTCATGTTTTTTCACAGTAAATACACATTATTTTCCACTTAGGAAAAATGACAAATAAGCCCCACCCTGGAGACTAAGGGAGCATTTTGCTTATTCCAGGGAACTTGACTATGCATGGAAAAGTAGATAATGGGGGCGGGGCTGGCGATGGCGTGCAGATCTACGGCTCAGGCAGAGCTGTGTGGAGGATGAACTGGCTGACACGGAAGTCTCAGCTGCGGACTGGAATACGAAGATACAGCCTTCCTTGGGCAGCGGCTGCTCCGGCACACGGGGCTCAGGTTTGGGGTGTGCGCTGGATTAGCTGCCGTCATAGACCTGTCAGCAGCAGCCACCTTTGGCTCTAAGGGAATGCCACCAGCTGAGCCTGCATCCCTACATTCAATAGGGACTTATGCAGCGTGCCTCTGCTGCATGCCAGGCACCCTCTGAGGCGTCTTCCCCGCAGCGTGCTGAGATCTCCAAGTGCCAGGCTGCTGGCATCTTAACCTGCGCCCCCTCCCCCACTGGAGTCCAATTCCTTTGGGTTCGGCACCGAGCAGCCAGCCCCCTCCCACAGCTTCCATATGAGGTGCCCAACGCTGGGCCTCCTGCGGTGCCTTCTCGGGGTCTTGCTCTGGCAGGGTGGAGGGAGAGCAGCAGGTTGGTAAGCTCTGAGGGAAGAGGGAAGGCCAGGACACACAGGCGGGATGCAGATGGCCGCCTCCCACCCCAGCGCCCTGATGAGCAGAAATGGACCTGAGTGCCCCCTGCAAAGGAGGGAGGCTGAGTACCACCTCAGGAGGGAGTGGAAGAAGAGGCCATGCTGCCAGAGGAGGGGCTGCACGCATGCTTGGCCTGACCTTTCCTTGGGAGGCTGCCCAGGGTCGGATATGAGTGGGCACCACTGGAGGTGCCTTTGGGAGGAACCCGCAGGATGGAACAGAAAGGAGAGTGGGGAAAGGGAGGGGCAGACATCAGGCTCAAGCCTCCCTGCCTCCCTGCAGCCCCAACCTGGCTCAGCAGCCTCCATTCCCAGGGTTGCCTCAATCCAATACGTTCAGCCAGTGAAGCAGCGCACAGGACTTACAGGCCCACCACCTCGCCTGCTGGATAGAACTTCAGGGGGCCCTGGGAGCGGGGTGAATGCCAGAAGACATTCACCCCCATGGCCACCCTGAACCTGTCCAGGAGCCCCATGGCCACCTGAACCCATCCAGACCCCTGTCCAATATCTCACCAGAACCCAGCACACATGGTGCAAACACTCTACCCAATGAGCTGTATCCCCAGCCTGGTCCCCAGTTTTGAGGGCCTATCCCAGAAGCTTGCAGGGCAGAGTCAGGGGGCCCAGCCTAGCTTCTAGCCTACACCTGCCTAAGCCCCTCTTCACCACCACCAGGAGAGTTCCCCTCTCTCCCCTGTCCCAAGGGTAGAGGGTAGCTGGTAATCAGACGTCCCAAGGGTGGCGGGGAGCAGCCCCAGAGTGTGGGCTGTCCAGCATGTGTGGCTCCAGCAGCAGCCAGGAGTATGTCTGACCGTCCCTGGGCACCAAGGACTTGGCTTCCCTATCCCCGTCTCGCCTGGCTGCCTCTCTTCTCAGCCTTGCCTGGGCTCCTGCCTCCCTGTCTGCTGTCTCATTTCAAGGAAAATTCCTACAGGAGCCAGGAAGATGGTCAGACACTGAGGCCAGGCCAGCCTATGGACATCCAGACAACCGTCCTGGCCAGGCGGTGCCCAAGGAGGGGCTTGCTGATCTGCAGGAGACTCAGAGACAGGCAGGGATGCCCCCTACCCCCAGTGGATGGTGAGGGGGCCTCAGGTGCCCCTATCTATACCTGGTTTGGAAATTGATCACAGGCAAGGAGGGGTGGGTTGAGGGGATGCCAATGTACCCACCCCCCCACACACCCCCAAGCACCAAAATGGCACAGTTGCAACTTGACTAGGATCCAGAGACCAAGAGTCCTCCCAAAGGCTCAGAGGCCCACGCTGCCCCCAGCACTGCCCCTCCCCCAGGGTGAGCTCTGCAGAACCCTGCACTGGGGCTGGCGGAGGAGGAAGGGGCGGGCTTGGTTTCGCAGGTCTCCATGTCAAGCTCAGCACCGGCACCTCCAGACAAGGACAGGGCAGGGCTGAGGCTCAGGGCTGGAGAGGCTGGCTCACTGGGCAGCCCCAGGGCAGAGGAAACCCATGTGGAGCTTTGGGTCCTCTGGCAGACTGCTCTCGGAGGCGGGCAGGCCATCTCCCACACCACATAAGGGTCAGGGAGGTGGCAGAGTCCAGTCGGCAGAGCTGCCTTGTGTCACTTGACAATAGCAGAAGGCAGATTTCATGGGTAAAACGGGAGAAAACAACACAGTAGTCAAGCTACCAGGATGGAGCTCCCCGGGGGCCACCGCCCCACTTGGGTGTCCTGGGGCTCTGGGGCAGGCAGCCCAGCAGCTTCCCCTTCTCTCCAGGGAGGGTGGGCTGTCAGGAAGAGTGGGCCTTGGGCAGCCAGCAGCAGGGGACTGCAACAGAATGTCTCCTTCTTCCTGCCTTCGGGACAGTGCTGTCCCCCCCACCCTCCCTGAAGCCCTGGGGCCTCCGCCACCCCGGCCTCAGGAACTGAGACCCACAAAAGGGCCCGACCCCTGAGGACAGGACGCAGGGAGGCTGGTGTCCGGTGAGGACACCCTGTGGCACAGATTTCTATGAAATTCTTTTCATCTTTGTTTTGATGGGTGAAGTTCAATGCCAGAATATTTGGCTTATGAGTCACGCTAATTACAGCTGGGGGAGGCACGGGAGAACTGCAGAAAGGAGCACGTTCAGAGACACTGAAGGCTGCCCTGATTGCCCTGGGCCCCGGCCGGGAGGTTATACCCCAGGATGGGAGGCAGCTGCCTGCACCCTCCGACAGCCTGGGCTTCCCAACCTTAGTGTTGGGCAATGGTGTCCTGTGGCTGAACAGGGCCCACCCAAGACCCCTGGCCACATGTCTGTCCCCTGCTGCTGCACCTTCCTTGGGGTCATGGGGGACTCCAGATGGTAGGAGAAGGAAAGGAAGGAAGAAAGTGGGTCCCTGGGAAGCAGCCCTGCTGCCTGCGTCCTGCCCTGGGCTTTCTCTGTCAGCGGAGAGAAGGGGACACTTGAGAAGCTCAGATCCCACCTCACTGTGGAGTGCTGCGCTCAGTGTCCCCAGCCTGCGTGGAGTGTACTGAACACAGTCTCAGGGCATGAGGACACAGGTCAGGGTCTGAGGTCCTCTGTCCACTGGCTCGGGCAAGCCACAAGCTCCTCTGAGCTTTGCACAGTGGAGTCCCTTGATAGAGTTGAAGAACCAATAAATTGGCGGCTGCCATTGTTCTTACCCAGGTTGCTGGGTCATCTCTAAGTCCTCTCTGGCTCTACAGGTCTAAGAGGGAGAGTGGAACAGCTGCCACTGACCTCAGCCTCTGCCCACCGGCTCCTGTTGCGGCTCCTCTCTGGTTAGCAGGGACCCTGGGCAGGCCTTGTGGAGCAGACACGTCCCCTCCCTGCAGCACACGCCGGCCAAGCACATGTATCTGTGACAGTGCGTGTGGGCTGCACGGCCGGGCGCACGTGTGTGCTTTCTACACTATACAAAGCAGAGCCCAAGCAGTCTGTAAGGACATCAGGCTCCTGGGGGTCCAGGAAGTCATTTCTCAAGACATGTCTCATTTTCAAAGTTCAGGAAAGCCTGTCCCGTGGCCTCCGTCCCTAGAAACTAGGTGAGATGGAAGAGGCGAGTTCCATGGCAGAGAGGCAGCTCCCTCTGCCCTTCCAAGCCAGGATGGGACAGGACTGCCAGGCGTGCTGGGAGCACACGGAGGCTCCTGGCTCTCCAGGGCTGGAAGCAGCCAGTGCAGCCGGGGATTGGCAGAATAAAGACCACACCCGTACCTGCGGAGGTGCCCTGGAGAGTTGGGTGGTGGCTGGTGGGTGGACATGCACCAACCAGAGACTCCACAGTGGCTCAGCAATGCAGTCCCAGAGCAGGGCCACTCTCAGTGGATCCTTCCAAGGAGGATCCCCAGGGATGTGACATTGTTTTTTCCTGCCCAAGCTGGATACCCTCCAGGAACACCAGGGCTGTGAGATGAGGGGGCCAAAGTCCACATTTCCTGTCCTGTGCAGGACCCAAGTGGGCCACAGAGAGCATGGGAGAGACCTGGATCTCAGGTGGTCCAGGTGACATTGGGGGATCTCTGCCAGGTGCAGAGGTGGACATGGGTACCCTTCTTTTTTCTCCCACACTCTCAGAAAAGCACCAAGCGAAGAGTGAAGCAAGATAAACACCCCACAGAACATGGGAGAAGGTACTGTTGCTCCCGACAGCTTCTGTCTGCAAAAGAGCCCGCCTCCTCCCGGTCAGAGGGCGCTGGCCCCAGGGCTCTCTGCAGAACCAACCGGCCTGTGCTGGGGAGTTAGCAAGAGCAGGCACAGTGCTTCCCAGAACTTCTGCTCTCTGCCCCTTGGCCACAGCTGCCCACCCTGCCCCTCCACCTCACCCATGGTCCCCCTGGCAAGGCTCTGCTCTGTCCTGCCCAGTCTGCTCCAGCAACCAGGCTGAAGCCAGGAAGACAGGAGCGGGCGGTACTGAGTCCCTCCTCACTCTGACCTGCCTGCCCCAGGCCACCTACCTCCCTCTGAACCGAGCAGGGCTGCACCAGCTGCGTCTTCCCCGCCGCCTCTCTGGGGCTCTCACGGCACCGCCTCTTAAAGCATCTCCAGCGGCAAAGCCTCCTCAGAGCCCGATCTCGGGAAGCACAGACTTGTCGAAGGAGACAGGGAAAGAAGTCCCCTGGGAAGGAGGCTCAGAACGGGAGGGGGCAGGTTGGAGCAGCAGCAGCCCTGACCCAGCACCTTTATCTTCTCTGCAGGCTCCAAGGTCTCCTTGGGCAGAAGCGGAAACGTGGTTTCTCGAAAGTAAAGAAGAGAGGAAGAAAGCAGGACAAACACGTAAAGAGCAAACCCAGCCAGATGTGAGCTGCAGAGGAGCCTAGATCGCTCCCAGCGCATTTTAGCCAAACAGCAGCCGCCGAGGATTAACTGTGTGTGTGCCCTGCCGGCTCCCTCCTCCTGGCCACGCGGGGCAGCCAGCCCAGCTGGGGTGCAGGTGGCCTCTTCTGTGCACCTGGGGCCTGTCCAGATGCAGAGGTATCTGGGAATCCAGGACGAGGATGCCCTGCACAGGGCAGGGGCACCCAGCAGGGCTGAGAACCCAAGTTACTTAGTGGCAGGGGGATGGGCTCAAGCACCCGCTATATCCTGCCCCAAGTCCAAACTGTGGCAGAGTTAAGACACACCGCAGATGGGGGTCCGAGGACCAGCACCAGGTTTGGGAGAATCTACAAGCCCTCTCTAACAGCTCTCGGGGTCCAGGCATGCACGTGCACACGTGTGCATGTTTGGAAGGAGATGGTTTATTGGTTTCCATGCTCAGAGGTGAGGGGCAATCCCTGCTCAGAACGCTTAGAATCCCCAGTGGTGGGGCCAGAGGGGACAGGGGTCTGCTCCGTCTCTTCCAGGCCTCTCATTCCTGGAGGTGGAAAACAGACATTTTCTTATTCTTATATAAATGCTCTTCCTGAACAAGTCTCCAGGCAGACCGCAGCACAGGCTTCTCCAGTGCTGTCCCTCCGTTCCCCAGCCCCAGCTCTGAGTCACACAGGCTTGTTCTGGAACCCTACCACAGCTCGAGAAGAGGAAGGGTCTGGCCAGAGGAGTGAAGCTGCCCTGGCAGTGATAACAGTGTGCCTTCTTCTTTTCTGCTTCTCCCCCAGTTCTCCTCTGTGTCCCTCCCCTCTGCTCCTGGACTGGGTGCTGTACCTGCGCTCTGCTGTCACTCCAGCGACGGCATCTCTCCTCTCTGGCTACATCTGGACAGGAGATGTAGAAAGAAGGATGCTAGTTCGGGATGTTAGGAGCAAAACAGAAAGGCTGCGCTTCACTATTCCTGGCCTTGGAATTTCCTCCCTGAGCCACACTGACATCTGGAAAGGCTTCGAGAACAGAAAGGGAGGAGGAGGAGGAAGAGGAGGAGGAGGAGGAGTGTGTGAGCAGGATGCCACCAGGCACATGCTCTTGCCCCGGGGCTGGGCCCAGGCCAACATCTGGGCAGAGCTGAGAAAGGGTGGAGATGCACTAGAAGCAGGAGGGCTTGGGATGGGGGTGGCAGCTTGTGAGGATGGGGTTTCCACTCCAGAGACCCCAACCTCCAGAGCCAATCCCCTGTGAGGAGGAGACGTGAAGGAGAAATGCTGCCTAGCCCCTGGAGCCCAGAGAGCACTGGAGGAGCTTGGTGAGATCAAGTAACCCGCCTCCATTAGAGACATGGCCTCCACTGCCCTGGCAGACCGGGGACAGCTCATGTTCTTTGGCATACATGTCTGAGGCTTGGCAAAACCTACATCCTCCATTGCTTATCAATCCAGGAAAATGCAGAGATAAGCTCATCTTCATTCCTGTAAGTAACATGAGGAAGTTTCCCATCCAGGCACGTAGACTGACCTCCCCCATTTACTGTCCCCAAATAGCCTGTGCGGTCGTGACACTCAGGAAAGCAGCAAGCAGAGCAGAGGAGGCAAGCAGGCAGCATCTTATGCAGCCCCACGAGACCGCTGCCCAGACTGAGAGCCCCCTGGGACTCTGGTGGGCTGGGAACTCCCTGCATGCAATGGGAAAGCTCCTTGTTGCCCTTCCCAGGAGCCTCCACTTAGTGAAGACCTGGGCCAACACCAAAATCCACAAAGCTGGGTGCACAGTTCAGAAAAGATGCAGAAGATGGAAGAGTTGCTCCTTCTCTTTCCTCCATGCAAGATGGCTCCGGCATTGACGAACTGAAAGAAACTTACCTGCAACATAATTCCAAGACAAGGAGTTGGAGTCCCCCACCCCCACCCCACGGTGGAACTCAGAAACACAGCAGAGGATGATGCCCGTCTGCAGCAGGCGCACCTGGACAAGGGCACTGAGTCCCAGAGCTGGGCGGAGTCCCAGAGCTGGGTCAGCTTACCCTGACCCAGCCAGGGAGCAGAGAATCTGGGGGGTCTCCTTGCTCCTTCCCTACCACGCAGAGATGGGCCCAGGGTTTCTGACCTGGAACCAGCTGAGCCACTTGTGTTCAGAGTAAGCTCCTCACACCAGGGGGCTTTGGGCAGCACTCTTCCAAGACATTTGGACTATTCTGTGGTGAAATAAAGGAAGGCCATTTATAGTCTCACAATGGTTCAAGTCACATTGATCTGTTAAATTTGTGGCACATTCAGAGGAAAAATCAACTTTTGAGAGCTTTATGTATTGGGGGGTTTGGGAGAAGCAATTAGGAACCTGTAGTTGCTCTCACAATTAATAAAAAGGTGGGTGAGGCAGACACAAAGTGCTACAATGTTCATGGTAATTATCATTGTTATCAATATAATCTTCTTTTCCTCCTTTGGGATGAGTCCCCACATTTCCCAAGAGACTAGAAAAGGAATTACTCATTTTACTGGAGGCAGGGCGGGGGGGGCGTGCAGCATGATATTAAATACAGTAAAATGAGCCTGGGGCTTCCCAGGGTACTTGTGAAACAGAAGGCTCAGAGGCGTGGGAAATTCCAAGAGCAGGGACTCAGGTTGAGAATATCACTGTGGCCCACAGCCTAAGCCCACAGGCAAACGGGCAGAGACAAGGCCGGCTCCCAAAGAACACAGCCAAGGCTCAGTGAGGGAAGTCAATGGTGTCACCACACCAGACAGCTGCCCTTGTCACCAGCTCCGTTTCTGCGTAAGATTGTAAGGAGGAAAGGCAGCAAATCTGGCAAATGTGCATGCTCTTGCAGACGACCTGATTTTCTTTCATCCCTAGCCGTGAAGGCCCCGAGCAATTAGAACCAGAATGTTCTCAGTGTAGCCAACACCTTCCTGTGGGTGCTAGGACAAGAGTCAGGGCAAACAAAAACAGAACAAACCAAAACCCAATCCAGCAGCAGCGGTGCGGGGGCAGACTGCATCAGCCCTGGGACGCTGGGTCAGAAGTCAAAGCCAACCACAAACACCCAGCCCCCTCCGAGACCTCCTCGGGCCCCCAAATGAGCAGTGCACCAAGCACATGCTGCAATTCCTGGGAGCTGCATCTACACGCATGTGTGGGCCAAGGCCCTACAGCTTCCTGGATGTTCCCAAGCAGCCCCCCCTTTCTCAGACCAGGGTTGTTTGTGGGATGAGGCCGGAGACTCCCAGAGGAACATTCTCTGGAACCCTGTGGAGCAGGCAGCACACTCTGTGCCCTCCCCTACTTGGCAATTTGTCCCCCCTCCCAGGCCATGTCATCAGTACTTGCTGTGTCTGTTTTCCCATTGCTGGAAAAAGCTACGTTGAGGGCTGTGAGACACTGGGTTCCCGATAAGCACAAGGCGTCATTAGTGGTATTGTGATTTTTCCCACTGCAGCCCTCATATCCTGCCCTTCCAGCTATTTTGGGCCAGGCTGCCCAGTTACCCCACAAAGGCAGAGACTGGTATTATAAACTTTTGAATTCCATTCCCAAGGGCTCGAGTTGGTGGTGACCCACTGCCAAGGGGTAGGGGTGGGGAGAGGCTCCATGGAGACTTGGAGAAGTTGCTGAGATAGAAAAGTGGAAACTTGGCAGCCGCCGAGCCTCCTGGCCACTGGCCAGCGCTCATGGCTCCTGGACAGCACTTCCCCTATTCTGGGAGGCTCCGGCAGGTGGAGATCAGGATCGACAGCTGCAAGGACAGGCCAGGTTAATCTGCTTCTTTATGGGGCTCATTCCTGGAGGAAACCACAAGCTAGGGGGCCTTCCTTCCCAGAGGGCTCCAGGAGGTGGGTGGTGAGAAACTACCCTTGCAGTCTTGCTTTTGTCATTTACACGCCACTTTAATCAAGCCACTTCATTTCCCTCAACCTCAGTTTCTCTGTCTCTAACCCTTTACTCCCCTCTTTTGGTAATGAATGCTTTCAGTTAGACTAGGCTTAGACAGAACAATGACGCAACAGTCCACTCCATGAGATGAAATGAGAGGGCCCCCTGGCGGCCAGCACGGCCCTAAGCACTAGATTGTGGAAGGGCTGCCTGAAAGAATGAATGCCGGTGAAGAAAGGTGCCACCGAAACCAAAGGAGAGAGGGGCCCAGGGTTTGGGGCTCAGAACACGAAGCCACAGATAAGGTGCTGTGCACGCTGCCTGCTTCGCAGGAGACGCAAGGCCTCGGCAGCGGCCTGGACACAGCCTGTCTCTGGCCTTCAGCCCCTCTCTCCCTGGAGAGAGGAAGCTAGAATCCCTCTGCCCCAAAGCAGCCATAAAGCCTAGAACCTTCACTCTGAAGCAGGCCAGAAAGAATTTCTCTATCTTCCTTGTCTGAGGGTAGGTTATATGACCTCCATTCCAGAAAGGGTCCTGCCCAACTCTCAGGAGGAAGGAGCTGGACAAACAGGCGTAGCTGGGTTCCCCTCCCCGGTCTGATCCCTCTAGGTTATCCCCTTTTGTCCCATCACATTTCCAAATCTGTTCGACCATCAAATCTGGGTCTTTGGGTCTTTGTTTTACGAAGACCCAAAACAAAACTCGGAGGAATTTGTCATGCTTTACTCTTGCTACTGTCTTCTGTTCCAGGAGCCTGGGCCACGACCCCCGTGCTAGGCAAGGAGTATTATGCCTTTCTGCCCCAACAGAAGCCATGGTAAATTCTCTCACGACATGAAGACAATCATGAAAATCGAATGGAAACCTAATTGTGTCACTGTTGACCTCAAGGGCAGCAATTTCAC